CACCAAACTTAGCACTTAACTACTGTGCCACCAGGGCTCCTATGTGACTTCATAACCAATGCTCTTAACCATTTTCTGGTTGCTTTATACTACTAGGAGCTCTGATGGTGTAGTGCTTAAGGCATTTGACTGCTAACTACAAGGCTGGTGGGTCAAACCCACCAGCCGCTCCTCGGAAGGAATCTACTTCTGTAGTGATGTTGTTGTTGTTGTTATGTGCTGTCGAGTCGGCTCTGACTCATAGTGACCCCTCCTTGGGTTGCCGAGGCAGTATCACTATGGAAGTAGATTGCCCAACCTTCCTTCCAAGGAGTGGCTGGTGGGTTTGAACCACCAGCCTTCTGGTTAGCAGTCAAGTGCCTTAGGCACTATGCTACCAGAGCTCCCTCGGAAACCCAAGGAGGGGTTGCTATGAGTCGGATCCCACTGGATGTCAGTGAGTTTGTTTTTTGGTTTTAGTGAGATATGAGTCATTGAAGAGGTCTGTACCACGTGCTGAATTCTTGCAAGAAGAAGGAGAGCAGCCAAGAATGAGAAGACAAGGAAGACTTCAGAAAGATAGGACGTTAGGTTATATGGGAGAAAAGGGAATTCACAGAGGCATCTGAGAAGTTGCCACAGAGCTAGGGGAAACCAGAAAGGGTGGTGTCTTGGAAAACATTGGAAGAAGTTTCATGAAAAGGGATAATGGTTGTGTGGGGTTCACTGCTGATCACTGCCCTCCGTCTGTGTATATTTGAAAATGTTCATAATAAAAAAGTTAAAAAGTAAAATAAAAAAGTTAAGCAAGCTAGGGACCCGCAACATGCCTTCCATCCAAAGACATGGATCAGAACATAGAAAGCAGTGTGCCTGGACCTGGGTTCTGGCTCTGCCTGTCCTGGCCCAGTGGCCTGGGGCACCCAGCCTGGAAAGAAATTCGGACATCTTCCTGTGGAACGTTGGGTTGGGTCTTAGAAGGTGAGTGGCATCATCCAGTAGTAGAGGAGTGGGAAATGGTATTCTGGGCAGAGACAACAGCAGGGTTAAAGGCTGAGAGACAGAAACAAGTATGGGACTTGTAGGGAAGCTGTTTTGTGTTGCTGGGTAGCAGAAACAGTTTGTGTTCACCTACTAATCTAAATGTTGATTTGAAGCCCCCCAGTGGCACCATAGAAGGAAGGCCTGGTGATCTGTTTCTGTAAAGATTATAGTCAAGAAAACTCTATGGAGCAGTTCTACTCTATGAATGGGCTCACCATAAATTGGAATCAGTTTGGTTTGGTTTTGGAGTAGAGTACGAAGGTGGGGATGGGGAGGGATGAGCCTGAGAGGTGGAATGCAGCAAAAAAACTGAACTAAGGTAGTAGGATTCAGGGTGAGTGGGAAAGGACAAATCTGAGAAATATTTAAGAGGTAAAATGGCATGACTTGGTGGGTGGTTGGATGTGGGGGGTAAAGGAAAGGGAGAACAAATGGATATCTGGGGATCCCTCTGTGACTACTGTCTCCCACATCCAGTTGACCCTTGTCTCCCTCCTCCCCTCTAGACCCTCTCACCTGGCAGAGATACCCATTGGGCTGAACCATGCAGGTGGCCCCATGGTGGCAGGGCCTGGACTCACAAGGGTTCACTCTCTCCTGGCATAAGCTGCCTTGGAATCCAGGGGGGCAGTGGCAGAAATAAGAGGGGCCACTGTCGATACAGAGGCCTCCATTCTGGCACAGGGTGGAGACCTCTATGCCTAGGGAGAGAGACAGATAGGGATAGATGAATCTACTGGGTGGAACAGTGCTTAGGGGCACCAGATGCTAAGCAGAGAGGCCTTTACCTTGGGGGCTGCTAATATTCCTGAGGTAGGTGAAGGCTACTCTGAGCCTGAGGACTTAGTAACTGATGATTCCAAAGAGGTTAAAACATCAAATTCCTTCTCTGGCCTTTTTAGCCAGAATGTTGGCTTCCTAGGCTATCAGAATGTTCTAAATGACTATTATCTTGGCTTAAAACAAGTCTCCATGGGGAAATAGAAGGGCTGTGAATTCACAGGGAGATACCTCAGGGGACAGGAGTACATGGGAGGGAAGGACACAGGGAAGAGGTAACTATGGGGAGGAAGTGGGAGGGGGCTGTTGCATTGTGGGAAATTGCAGTCAATGTCATGAGACATACACTTTCCATACAGCAGCTCACATAAGTGTATGTGAGCTGCTGTATGGCAAGTGGATTTTCTCTGTAAACTTTCACCCAAATCACAATAAAAATTCAAAACAAAACAAAACAAGTCTCAAGCAAGAAAGGACTGGAGAGAAACTCTAGGTAGGGACATGTGGCTTAAACAATGCCTTAAGTCTGTGCCTCTTGTGTTTTGTATCCTCTTTGATGTTCTATCAATGTGATTTCCATCAACCATCCCCAAATCCCACCATAGTCTCTTACCTGAGCTCGTCTCATATCAAAACTGTTCTTTTACAAGAATGTTGGTTTAACACCAGAATGAGTGGGCTGAGGTGGAATGCACGGAGTGTAGTTGGGTTAAATGTGATCCATTCTAAGTTACAATGATAACGACAAATGAGAGTTGCTCCACACTGAATTATATCCTTGGTGGTTGTGTTAAACTAGAGTCTTGCTGACTGGGCTGGCTGGTGCTGTGGGAGTTGTGTTGAATGTGGTAACAGAAGTTGAGTTGTGTTAGGCTAAACTGGGTGTTGAACTGTAGAGTCAATAACTATAGGTGGTTTGTGTTGTGTTGAGTCCTAGTTGGTTGCTTTGGCCATAGGTTGAGTGGGGATGCCCTTAGTGATGGGATAGAGGAGGAACCTTTCCCTTCATTATTGCTACCCAATTAGTCCTTGGGTTAATACCTTGGCTTAGAGCAGCCCTCTGGCAGGAGGATAGTGGAAGGTCACAGAGAGGCCCAGTCCATCCTTGGAGGCACAGGCACTGGAAGGAGGGTCCAGTCTGGAGGCAGTGGGCATTGTGTGGACAGGGCTTTTGGGCACATAAGTCCACCAGGGTCTAAGGTGGGAGCATGAGACAGGACAGAACATCTGCAGAGGTGGTCCTCTGCTAAACTTGAGCTCCTCAAAATCTCTTCCTTCTAAAAATCTCTTCTAAGTGATTATCCTTGGTTTCTTTTGATACTCACATTCTAGAACAGCCTCTGAGATAGAAAAATCCCCCACTCTTTCCTTTTTCACTCAGTATAACCCCCCAGCTAGATCCCAACTCCTAAACTTCCATATCTCCCTTCATGTGCAAACCTCTTCCCAGCTGTTGCCCTCCATTTAGTCCCTGTTACCCCTCTCACTAGAGCTCTCCAGTTACTTTGGCACACCTTACTTACCTGGCAGCTGCCTCCTGTGTAGCCAGGGGGACAGATGCAGCGGGGACCCTGAGGGCCATCTTGGCAGGTTGCCCTGTTCCTACAGGGACTGGACAAAAAAGAGATAGGGCACAGTAGGAGGAAGTTCTGGGAAACAAGGGGGAGGGAGTGTGTGATGTGGTAGGGTGGCAGCCACAGGGGAAATGGGAGACGAGGAGGGATGATCAAGTTAAAGCTTCAGGGATGTAGGAAGGGAGGTAGCCTGGAGCTCAAGGGCAGAAGGAGAGAAGGGTGGGGAGGCACAGGGTCTTCCTCCCTTCCTACAGGGTCTCACCTATCTGCACAGCTGGGATGGATCCTTCCTTCACAGCGTAGGCCCTGGAAGCCCTTGGCACAGAGACAGAAGGCAGTACCTGGCCTGTTCTCACAGGTACCCCCATTGAGGCACGGGGCTGGAGAAAGGAGGCTGTGAGGGATTGGGTTCCTTGCCTGTAACCTGGCTTGTGACTTCAGTCACAGCCCCCCTTCCCATCAGAATAACAGCTCATTGCCATCCAATTAATTTTAATATGGCACACCTCCACCCTGTGCAGTCCTTACATCCCATGGTGTGGTCTAGCCCCAGGACATAGTAAACACTCACCAGAGGCACAGTGGTCAGTGTTGATCTGGCAGCGGAGCCCTGTGTAGCTTGGGGGGCAGGTGCAGGAGTACCCCCCAGGGCTGGGACTGCAGGAGCCGCCATTGAGACAGGGCCCTGAGTGACATACTGTCACCTCCTCACTGCAGGTGGGCCCTAAAGAAGACCAGCAAGGCCTCAGACAGCTCTTTCCTCTCTCCTCTCTCCTTTCCCTCTACTCACCTCCTCTTTCCTTTCCCTCCCTTCTTTGTCTCCACTTGCATTATTCTCCCTGTCCAACCTCTTTTCTTCCTTCCCACTTCCTGCACATCACCTGTGTCCCCTGCAGCCCATGCCCAGTTCTCCTTGGTGATGACTGAGACCTGGGGCCCTTCAATAGATGTCTCTACTGGCCTTAACCATTGACTTAGGGGGTGACCAGCCCAGGGTGTATATGGTTTAGAAAAGACCTCACCTGTGTAGCCTGTGGGGCAGGTGCAGTTGTAGCCAGAGGGCTGGGGGAAGCAGGTACCCCCATGGGCACAGGGCATAGAGATGCAGCCCCCCAGCTCTGCCTCACACTCTGGCCCTGTCCAGCCCATGTCACACACACATGAGGACCTGATTATAAGAGAAAGGGGAGGATCTTTTTCTTCTCCTAATATATCCTCTCCCTTCCCTGTTAGCCAGATCTCATTGACTTCCTCTTTTCTTGGTTTTGAGATTCTAGTCTCTTCAGTAGTTATGTTCTCAGCATTGCCCCTCCCCTCATATTCTCCAATTATGTACATATTTCCTCTATTACTTACTTATTTCATTAGAATGAAAACGTTATGAAAGCAAGACACTTTGTGTCTTTTGTTCTCTGCTGTTCCCCCAATGCCTGAAACAGCACCCACACATAGTAGATGTTCAATAAATGTTTGTATAATGAATAATGGATTGGCCCTGTAATTTAACGCCTCTTTCTGGTTGGACTTCCAAGCCCTCTGTTTTCCCACATTATTTATGAACTCTCCTTTCTTTGGAGAGCACTCACCAGTGGAGTTTTCTTTTGGCTATTACTTAAGAACTTTGTTATTTCTTCCCTGTTCACCATTGGTCATTTACCACAGACCCTTCCCTCACTGGCTATCCTCTATTGCCAAGCTGAGGAGGACCAAGAGGAGGGGGCAGATGAGGAGGGCCTGGAGGGTGCTACCTCTGGCAGTGCCCATGGTGGCAGGTGCAGTTGTCTTCAGTGGGGACACAGCCAGGGCTTCCATCAAGGCAGAGGCAGTGGGCCTTGTCCTCCCGATCCTGACATCCTTGCTTGTTCTGGCATAGGTTGGGGGCACACAGGGGGACTTCACAAAACTGGCCTGGGTGAAGAGAGATGGGTCAGGGAGAAAATAGTCCTTCCACGTCCTTCATGGGGCCACTTCTGATGCATGAGTTGCTCACTTCTTCATGGACTTGTCCTTCCACGGCTCCCTAGTGCCTTTAGGATACTGTCTGAACTTCCCAGAATGACACTCAGGGTCCTGCATGGCATGACCTTCCTACAAGTGCTGCATTTCTCATCTTTGCTCTAAGTCATGTATAGTTCCTTGAACGGGGTGTGCTTTCCTTCCCTTCTTCCCCTTGTACGTGGAGTTATCTCTGGATAAAATACTGTCTTACATTCTATCTCAACAAACTCCTACTCATCCTTCAAGACTCAGCTCAGCCATCACCTCCTCCATCTTTAGTTTGGGTTGTCTGGTCCTTTGTGCTCCCATAAGATCCTCCTCATTTCCTCTCTCAGAGGACCTCTCTGGGCTATAATCATAGGTTTACCTGTTGGTCTCTCCCCATTAGATTCAAAGCCACTTGAGGATAGCAACTTTCTTACTCAACTTTGCATCTGTAACATAGTATTATGTGTGACATAGTAAAACCATTACTACTGAGTGGATTTCATCTGACATGTTGTTCCAAACAAACGAACAAACAAACCTGTTGCCACTGAGTTGATTCCAACTCATAGTAACCCTATTGCACAGAGTAGAATGTCTCACAGAGTTTTTCCATGGCTGAAATCTTTACAGAAGCAGCCACATCTTTCTCCCACAGGATAGCTGGTGGGTTTGAACCACTGACCTTTTGCTTAGCAGCTAAGTGCTTTAACCACTGTGTCACCAGGACTCCTTTTGCTGTTGTTAGGTGCTGTCAAACCCATTCCGACTTTAGTGACCCTATAGGGAAAAGCAGAACTGCCCCATAGGGTTTCCTAGGCTGTCATATTTACACAAGAAGATCACCAGGTCTTTTCTCACAGAGCTGCTGGTGTGTTCAACCTTTCAGTTAGTAGCCATTGTACCGCTGTGGCTCCTTCTTGCTGACATAGTAGATACTTAATAAATGCTTGCTAAATAAACAAAAGGAGCTCTAATGGCACAGTGGTTAAGGCAGTTGGCTGCTAACCACAAGGTCGGTGGTTCAAACCCATCAGGTGCTCTGTGAGAGAAAGGAGTCAGGCTGCTTCTGTAAAGATTTACAGCCTTGGAAACCCTAAGGGGCCATTCTACTCTGTCCTATAGGGTTGCTATGAGCCAGAATTGACTTGATGGCAGTGGGTTTGTTTTTGTTTTTAAATAAACAAATGAATGACTTCCATTGGAGCCCCGTCTTCTGCTCCTAAGCTCCAATCACCCCATTCATGTTGGACCCAATGTGAACCCTACAGTAACATCCACCCTCATCCCCATGGTTGTAAAATTGTCCAGGTTTTGCACTGAATAACTCTAAAATGTACCATTCTCATTTCAGTTTCACATCCCAACCCTCAAACATCCACCAATTGCCCCCCCTTCCAACTCATATATGGATTCAAGCATCCTACCAGTCATTTTCAACATTTTCACTGATTACCTGTGAGGCCAGAGGGGCAGAGGCAAGAGAAGGCTCCTGGGAGATCAAGGCAGCTGGCACCGGTGGGGCATGGGCCACTCAGACACTCATCTACCTCTGTCTGACAGCGTGGGCCTTCAAAACCTATGGCACAACAGGAGACTCAGGGACCTGCACCAACATCTGCCCCCATCCTCATGTTCCCTTCCAGTGTCTGAGCCCCAGTGTACCTGGGAGACATTTGCATTGGAAGGCTCCAGGCTGGTCCTGGCACTGTCCACCGTTGGCACAGGGAGAGCTTCCACACTCGTCGATGTCCTCCTCACATTGTGCACCGATGAATCCTGGTGGAGCAGGGAGCAGGTGGGGAATGAAGGCAAAGTCATTGAGGGAGATGCAGCAAAGTGTTTCCCCTTGACAGAAAAGGAGAGCCTGGATGACTTCCCAGAGAAGACTCCTGAGCAGGTTGGAGTGGAGATGATGTGAGGGTGATGCAGAAAATGTGAAGCTTGGTTACCTGCTAGTCGCATGACTTTGGGCAAGCTACTCAACCTCTCTAGAACTGAGTTTCCTCCTCTGTAAAAGGGGAATAATGACATCTACCTCATGGTCCAGTTGAAAGGATTAAATGAGAAAAAATGCCTGAAAAGTACATAACCGAGTGCTTGGCCTAGAATAAATACTTCATAAATGTCAGGTGCTATGTCGCTATGAGTCAGGTTCCGACTAGATGGCACATAACAACAACAACAACAACAACACATCCTAGCAGGAAACAGAGGGATGATTGGTGGTGCTGAAGGAGAAAAGCCCATGGCAACTTCCCTGTGTCTAAGGTGAGCAGAGCCAAGATCAGTCTGGAACCCCCCACATGCAGGGTGAGTACACAGAGGACTCTGAGGAGGACTGCAAAGGAGGGATAGTTGCATGACTTGGTAGGAACAGAGATAAGGTGGATGAGAAAGCAAGAAAAGATCTGGGGGATGTAACAGAAGATAGTTTGGGGAGCAGAGAAGGGGCTGGCAAAACAGAGGATCTCTTTGGCCAGGTTATAGGGAAATTCAAATGGCTTTGGGTAGGAAAGAAATGTAGAACAAAATTAAAATTCTTAAAAATAAGGCCAGACCTACTGGACTGATAGAGACTAGAGGAACCCCTGACATTATTACCCAAAGATACCCTTTGAACTTGGCACTGAAGCTACTCCTGGAGGTAACCTTTCAGCCAAATAATAGATTGGCTTATAAAATTGGAAAAATACTCTCTTGTAATGTGCTCCCTTAATCAACTATATGACACCAAACAGTCAACATTTACCCAAAAGCAAAGATGAGAAGGCAAGAAAGGAAAGGGAAGTTAGATCATTGGAAACAGAACAAATAGAAGGGAAATACAATCATGCGCTGCAAGGTCGGCAACATCTTACTGCATATACATCCGTGATCCCAACCCCCAGGAAGCCTAAAATATTAAAAATTCAAGGTATCTACAATAGTTAATAATAACAAATGGGCACTACTTTGTGACTTGCATCAAAACATTACTATTACTGTCTTATTATGTTAAAGATGTTTTAGTGTTTCTGGAAGGTTTTTTTTTTTTTTTTAACGTTTTTTAGTGCATTAATGTAATAGAAAGTTATACTATATACTAAGACAAACATCTGACTAACATACACTAGATACAAACCATACCTAACTGTTTGGACTTATGTATAAATTTGACTTAAAAGACAGACTTAGTTGTTGTAATCTGGACACCGTCTGTATATAATACAGTGTTTGCACAACGTCCAAATCACATAACGTCCTATTTCACAGAACGTGTCATGGACATTAAGCAATGACTAATGAGAATGCTCATTGTGAAAATCGTGACCAACGTCATGGAAAAATTTGTATAAAAACTATTAAATGGGAACCTAATTTGCTGTGTAAACTTTTACATAAAACACAATGTTTTCTTTTCTTTTATTTTTTTAAAAAACGCTTTGTGTGATTGCTGGCCTGAACTCTGGAAGTCCCGAGGCTCGCGGGGTGAGGGAGGTGGAGCAGAACTGCACCTACCGGGTGGGCAGATGCACAGGAAGCTGTTGCGCATGTCCTGACAGACCGCGTTGTTCAGGCAAGGAGCCGAGGCACACTCGTCCGTCTCCACCTCACAAAGCTGCCCTTCCAAGCCTGAGGATATGGAAGTATATGTGTGGGATGAGGCTTGGCCAGGCCAGCCCTGATTTGGCTGCCCCCTTCTGCCCAGTAGACCCGGGTTCTAGAGCCAGGCCTACCCTATCCGCAGTGGACAGCCCCTTCCTGGGTACTGTTGGCTTGTGGGTAAGAGGAGTTGATTCCTGAAGCCCTACTTCTCTGTAGGCTGTGCCTCTGTCTCCTTTAGGTTTACAAGCTCTGGGAGCAGGGCTCCTGCTCAGGGCCTGTGGGAGACCTGTGAACCTGTGCCTTTTGGAAGCCATTCCTGTGTGCACAAGGGTAGTGCTCACCCAGGTGGCTGGTCAACCTTAAGTGAGACCAGTGGACAGCAACTTGGAGGGTGATTCGTTTCTGTTGCTGCCATGGAGACCAGCAATCCCAAAGAGAGATATGAAGGGCATCTGGGAAGCTGCATTGCTCCCATATTTGTCCCATTGCTTTGGGTTGGGCCTGGTCTCTACTGCCTCACGCTAACTGAGGCTGGATCAACCTCTGAGCCTTGGCTGCCTCCCTCTTCTCACCTGGAAAGCCTGGCTCTGAAGCTCCTTGCTATCCATGATCTTGTCTCATGGATGATTGAACAGTTTTCTCTGATTGTCTGTGGATGGCCTGAGCCAGTTATCCTTGGCTGCTGCTCAGCTTAGAAAGGCGGGGTTGTGTAGTGGTTAAATCTACCGAATCTCAGCTCTGTCACTTACTAGCTGGGGGACCCTGGACAAGAGACTTAACTTCTCTGTCTTACATTCACGTTAATAAAATGGACCTAATAACAATGTTGAATTGACAAGGTGATTGTAAGGATTGTTGTTGGGTCCATGGAGTCGATTTTGACTCAGAGTGACCGCATGTCACAGAGTAGATTTTCTTGGTTGTAATCTTTACAGAAACAGATTGCCAGATCTTTTCTCCCAACGGAGTCTCTGAGTGGGTTCAAAGTGCCAACCTTACTTTTAGTAGTCAAATGCTTAACCATTTTACCACCAGGGCTCCTTGTTGTAAGGATTTAATGAGAATATGCATGTAAGACACTCAGACAGTACCTGCACAAGGTAAGCTATTATTTTGCTGGTTTCATCCAGCTCACTAACATTGGGTCTGTCACTCTCTTAGGAGAGTTTTTTCCTCTCAAAAGTAGTTTGGAGGTGGGTGTGGCCTCACAGCTCTCCTTTCCTGTTTCGCTAAATTCAAGCCCTTAGGCCCTCTCGGGTCTATTTCAATCCTATAGAGTGTTTCTGTGAATAAGGAAAATGGTCTGGGTTGCCACAGCACAGAAAATTTATTAATGGCCATTCTGTTCTCTCTCTCTGGGCTTCTGTATACTGTGGACCATGTTGTATATTGTACAAGACTATGAACGGTGCAGTTGAACTGTGCACAACCTCACTACTGTCTATGGCAGCCCTTCTCCTAGGGTTATGGTGTCTCAGAGTTTTCATCTGGGGAAGGGGGAGAGGAGGAGAAGCAGCTGTTGGTAACTGACCTCAGCTGGCCTGAAGCTATCCTTACTCTGGAGGGGGGATGCCCAGTGGTGTCAGGACCAGTTCTCCATCCCTCCCACCCAAGACCTCATCCAGCTGATACCTGGTGGGCAAAGGCAGTGGAAGGTGGCAAGCAGGTCCAGGCAGGTGCTGCCTGGGTGGCAGGGCTGGGACAGGCATTCATTGTGATCAGCCTCACAGCGGGAGCCTGTGTAGCCAGGGGGACAGAGGCAGTCGAAGGAGCCAGGGGTGTTGAGGCAGGAGCCGCCATGTTCACAGGGACTGGGACCTTGCTGGGCTGGAAGGAGAGAAGAGCCAGGAGTCATAAAAGGCATGGGGGTGTGCCTGTGACAGATGAGACCACATTGGGGCTTGTGTCTTTAAGATAGAGAAAGACTAAGGGGACAAGTCCACAGGGTCTGAAGGGCTGAGCGTTGGTGAAGGGATGCCAAATCTGGAAAAATTCAGGACAAAGAGAGGTTCATGCATCGTTTCTGTCTTAAGTGCTGAGAGGACTGCCTGGAGCCTCAGACATCTGCTGGGGATGCCTTACCCATCTGACACTCATCCAGGTCCTTATTGCAGGTGGGCCCAGAGTAGCCCGGCTGACACAGGCAGAGGGTGGAGCCCGTCAAAGGGTTGGTGCTACACTGGGCTTCTCCATGGCATGGCTGACTCAGACACATGTCCTCCAGGTGGCACAGGAGGCCTGTTGGAGTAGGAGGGGGTGAGGTCTCAGAGGCCACGGGAAGTTCCCAGCTGCCCTCCAAGTGCTTCTCTCACCCTCTTTCTCCACCCGCCACCTCCCTTGGTACCCTCTGCTGCTCCCACACCTGTGCGGCCAGGTGGGCAGAGGCAGGAGAAGGAGCCCACACGGTCAACGCAGGTGGATCCTGGGGCACAGGTAGCAGCAACACAGTCGTCCAGGTTTTCCTCACAGCCTATGCCTCCCCAGCTGCTCACACATACACAGTGGAAGCCACCAGCTGAGTTCTGGCAGGTGCCCCCATTTTTGCAGTGAGGGGGACCCTGGGCCTCACACTCATCCACGTCCTTAGAGCAGTCCCAGCCTGCAGAGGGGAGCAGGGAGGACAAGGCCTGGGGCTGAAAGCTGATGTGGGGGCGGGCTAGGCACCAGCCATCTGAGTCATGAATGCCGTGGCTTAAATTACTCACCTGTCCAGGCCTCTGGGCAGAGGCAAGTATAGGTGTTCAGCCCATCCTGGCAAGTACCCCCATTCTGACATTGGTGCCCAACACAATCATCTGGATTTACCTCACAGTCTGGGCCTGTGAAACCTGACAGAGGCATGGGATCAGCTAGGGGGCAGGGGTCCCAGGGGAGATGACCTTCCCTGACCAGACAGAAGGGCTGCAAGCAGGTCCCTGTGAGTACACACCTGGGGGGCAGAGGCAGAGGTGGAAGGTGGAGTGTGCCCCTGGCACCAGCTGGCAGGTTCCCCCATTGGAACAGCTCTTGGGGAGACAGGGTCCAGCTTGGAGCCCACAGTGTGTACCCTCACGTCCAGCAGGGCAGAGACACTGGAAGGAGCCCAGAGTGTTATAGCAGAAGGTGCCCTTGGGGCAGGGTCCTGGGTCCATGTAGCACTCGTTGACATCGTGTTCACAGGCATGGCCCTCAAAGCCAGGTGGACAGTGACACTGGATCTGGGGATACGTGGCCAGACACACTCCTCCATTGATGCAGGGGTTGGCTGAGCAGAAGTCTCGCAGCTGGCACCGCTCACCTGTGGCAGAAGGCAGGGGGAGGCATTCTGACACAGCACACATGCTAGCTCATCCGAAAAAACCAGCCCTTACTATAGATTATCTTCTTGCCTGGACCTCTGTACCCTCTTTGCCTAGTTCCATCTACCCTTGCCTCCAATTGGCCAATACTTTGGAAGGGTTACAGCTGGAGTGACCATATTTTCCAAACTGAAAATAGGACATGTGTCTGGGGGTGTGGGTATTGTCAGTTGGCCCTTCCTGGAAAATCTGGGACATAGGGTGCCTTTTTATGGGGAGGCAAAAAAGCAAATGGCATCTGCAGGCAGGAGTCATAGTTTGGGATCCCTGCTTTGCTACAAAGGACTATGAGCCCTTGGGCAAGTCACTTTGCCTCTCTGATCCTGATTTCCTAATCTTCATCAGTTGCCGTTGAGTTGATCCCAAGTCACAGTGGTCCCATGTGTGTCAGAGTAGAACTGTGCTTCGTAGGGTTTTCAGTGGCTGATATTTCAGAAGTAGATCACCAGGCCTTTCTTTTGAAATGCCTCTAGGTGGACTTAAACCTTCAACTTTTTAGTTAGCAACTGAGTGCATGAACAGTTTCCACAACCTAGGGACTCTACCTAGTCTTTTTTTGTGTGTGTGATTTGAGTGAAAATTTACAGAACAAATTCATTTTCCATACAGCAGTTCATACACATTTTGTTTCATGACATTGACTATAATTCCCCACAATGTAACATCTCTCTTCCTACTTCCTCCCTGTAGTTATCTCTTCCCTGTGTTCTTTTTTCCTATGACTTCCTGCCCTCTGAGCTGTCTCTCTGTGCAAATACTGTCCTTCTGTTCTACCATGATTGATGGTTCTAAGGAGTGTATCTATCCGGTGTAAATGTTCACCCCATATGCCTGACTGTTGTTTGGCTGGAAGCCACAGGAATGAGTTCAGCTCCAGACCTGAAGGGGAACTAGGAACCATATCTCAAGGGTCTCACCAAGTTCTATCAGACCAGTAAACCTGTTTTTTTTTTTTTAATGATTTTTAGTTTTGTTCCACATTGTTCTCCCACTCTATCTAGGATCTCCTGCACTGATCCCTTTCTAAGTGGTTGACAGTGGTAGCTGGGGACCATCTAGTTCTTCTAGTCTCATGGTCATATAAGCTGAAGTTCACATGGTCTACCAGTCCCTTGGACTAATTGTTTCCATGTGTCTTTGTTTTTCTTTATTCTTCTTTGCTCCGGATGAGGAGAAACCCATTGTTGCATCTAGATGGCCTCTTGCAAGCTTTTAAGACCCCTGTTACTACTCACCAAAGTAGGATGTAGAACAATGTTTTTGGGTAGTATGCTATGCCAGTTGAGCTTGATGTCCCCATGCAACCATGGTCCCAAGCTCACAGATCCAACAACTTGCTCCATCAGAGTGCCTCACCTCGTCTTTAGGTGGGTATAATGGCACAGGTAACAATGATACTAACTTCACAGACTATGTAAACTAGTGGTGATGGTGGCAGTGACATAACCACCTACTATGTGCTGGTTACTGGCTAATTAAGCAGTTTGTGAGCATCAGGCCCTCTCCTCCTCTCAACAGCAACCTTGTGAAGTGTGTGAACATTCATATACCAACTTTTCAGCTGACAGCTGAGAACCTGGAGAGCTTAAACATCTTGGGCAAAGGTCACATAGCTAGTCAGTGGCAGAGGGAGAGGGTGAGCTTGGGGAGCCCTGGGGGAGGTATTTGGCCCAGAAGCTGCTCCAGCACCTCACTCTGAAGCACTAAGCTTCAAATCCTGCCATGACCGTTCTCATAGTTATCACACATGCGCTCTGACTCCTGGTTTCTCACATCTGGTTTCAGCTCTGGTTTCCTTGCTTGGTTCTTTAGTTCAGAATCACCTCGATAAGGTTTATTGGTCTGATAGAGCCTGGTGAGACCCCCGACTATGGCCCCTAGTCACCCTTCAGGTCTGGAACCGAACTTACTTTTGTGGCTTCCAATCAAACAATAGACAGGCATATGGAGTGAACATTTACATCAGGTGGATACACTCCTTAAAGCGATCAATCAACCGTGGGAGAACAGAAGGGCAGTGTTTGCACAGGGAGATAGCTGGGGTGGGGTGAGTGTTTGGAATGCATAGGAGAGAAGGACACAGGGAAGAGATAACTAACTCCAGGAAACAAGTGGGAAAAGAGCTATGGGGAATTGCAGTCAATGTCAATGAACAAAATATGTATGAACTGCTGTATGGAAAATGAGTTTGCTCTGTAAAGTTTCATCCAAACCACACACAAAAAAAGAATCACCTGGATAGTTTAGAACTCCATGCCCTGGACCCTCCTCAGATTGATTAAATCTGATTTTCTGAGTTGTCCACATCAGTATTTTTAAAGCTATAGGAGCTCTGGTGACACAGTGGTTAAATTATTTGGCTGCTAACCAAAAGTCACCAGTTTGAATCCACCAGCTTCTCAGCAGGAGGAAGGTGAGGTGGTCTGCTTCTGTAAAGACTTACAGCCTTGGAAACCCTATGGAGCAGTTCTACTCTGCCCTATGGGGTCGATATGAGTCAGAATCAACTTGATAGCAGCAAGTTTGGTTTGATTTGCCCAGGTGATTGTCACACCCAGCTGAGTTCCAGAAGGCTTGCCTCTAATCCACCCTCACAGACACACCCTGTTTGGTGGCTGCTTCAGTTTCCAAGCACTTTCTCACCTAGGTGGTCCTTGCTTCCTGGTCCATCCCCTTCCATCTTGCCTGGATCAAGTGGATACCTCCTCTTCAGGGCCTCATAGCTCTATCCCTGCATCCCTGGGCACTTCCTTAGAGCAGCCTATCATGCCTATCCCATAGCCAGTTCCCTTGCTCTAGGATTACACTCCTCCTCTTGGGATGGACCTCCATTCCTGTCTCTGGGTTGTGTCCACCCTGCCTCTACTATGCAGCCCACCCATGGCAGGTTTTCCAGGTGATCTTGTGGCTACCACCATTCCAGAATAGAGGCCATTAAGATGCTCAAAATGCAGGGTCCTGAAGATTCCACAGTGGGTAAGGCATTAAACCATTAGATACTGGATCAAGGGAAGTCTGAGGGAATCAGGAGAGGGATTAAGGTGGTGCATTGAGGGGACTTATTATTAACAGATAATGGAAATATTTAAACATTTTAATAGGCTGGCGCTCTGGTGGTGTAGTGGCTAAGGCATTTTGACTGCTAACCAGAAGGCTGGCAGTTCAAATCCACCAGCCGCTCCTTGGAAAGAACATTGGGCAATCTACTTCTGTAGTGATATGGCCTTGGAAACCCCAGGAGGGGTCTCTATGAGTTGGGTCCAACTCCACAGCAGTGAGTTTTTTTTTTTTTTGTATATCCATACAAGGAGCTCTGGTGGCGCAGTGCCTAAGGCATTTGACTGCTAACCAGATTGGCGGTTCAAACTTACCAGCCACTCTGTGGAAGGAAGATTGGGCACTCTATTTCTGTAAAGATTTACCACCTCAGAAACCCAGTGGGGGTCACTATGAGTTAGAATCAACTCGATGGCAGTGAGTTTAGTTTTTGATGAACATCACTTTTGGGAAAATGGGTCACTAGAACTGACTTGTTGATTCTTGTGGTCTGTGTCCTCAAAGGGCTCAATATTTCAAGCTCCAGTTCCATCTTTCCCATCCCATGTCCTGTCCCCTCCTCTCCACCTCCATCAGTACTTACCTGTCCATCCTGACATGCAGTAGCACTGTGGGTGGCCTGAGGCCTGGATGTGGCAACGGCCCCTTTGGGAACAGTAAGAGGGAAAACAGAGGTCCCCGAGTCGGGCTTGGCACCTCTCGCCAGTGAAGCCAGGGGGGCAGGTGCAGAAGAAGCTAGAGGCTAAGGGAGAGGGTGGGCTAGGGGAACCAGGGAGGACAGGGAGCAGAGCTTGACAGCTGCCTCCATTCTGGCAGAGATCAGCATCCTGGCAGGGGTCATGGAACTGACACGTCTCACCCAGGAAGCCAGGAGCACACCTGAGCAGGAAGGAGAGGTAGATTTACATCACTGGCCCCCTTCCCAGCTCTCCTACCTCCCTTCTTTCATCTTCATCTGTTTCCCTTTCTCTCCTTTGCCCTCTCCTTTTCTCCTTTCTTCCCCTTCCTCACCTCTTCCTCCCCTGCTCACCCATCCTCTCTTCCTCCAGTGCCCCACTCCTCTAAGGCATACTCACTGGCAGATCCCTTGACCCTCAGAGAGGGTCAGACACGTGCCTCCATTGGCACAGTCTTCTGGGAAACTCCTGCACAGCCGCCCTAAGGATGGAGAGGGAGGATGAGCTGGAAGGGAGAGCTCTGTGCTGTCACTTTTTCTCTTTCAGGGACCTGCCCACAGCAGCCTTGCCCACATGCTCTCTGAACCATCATCTCCTCTCCTATCCTGTTCCCAGTCCCCATGTGGTCCCCAAACTCCAGCCCCCTAGGTCCCAGGCCTCTCAGTTTCTATTCTCCACCCCCCTTTTCCTGTTTATTCTCTGGCCTCCAATTCCAGCCTCAGGGCTCCATCAGTCCCTCGGAAGCAAGACAACAGGAATCAGGAGGGGGGCCAAGGGGGCTCCTGGGAGGTGAATGGCTGAGACATTGAAGGGATTTCCTCCCGGAAGGGACCAGCGTTGAGCCATCCGGGGGGTGGGGACAGCTGGACCAGGAAAGGCACTTGATGGACCCTTGACCTTCCCCAGTCTCCATCTCCTGTCCTCTCTCACCTCTTCCCCTAGCAGGTGGTGAGTCTATTCCCTCTTCTCCTCCTAACATGGCTGCAAGAACCCTCTGCCTTGCAGCTCCAGGGTGGACGGGGTTCTCCCTGGGGGTGAGCACCCTCTCACCCATCCTCCCATCAGTCACCACCCCTGGCATTGGGCCCAAAGCCTTGGTCTGTGCAGCTCCAGCGGCGAAGTCCTGGGTTGGGTCAGAGATGGCCTTCCGCAGGCCGTCTCCATTGAGGTGAGAGAATCTCCTCCATCCAGAGACTGGGGCTCAATCTTCTCCCCAATTCCCATCTCTTCTAAGATAGATGGGTGCCCCACCTCTCCCACCCGCATGCCTCACCTCTGGTCTTGATAATCCAGAAGCACAATAGTAGCAGCAGAAGAAGCAGCAGTGAAGGGGGCTGCATTCCAGAGCCCCTGCCCCAAGTTCTGGTCCCCTCTCCCTCTTCAGGCAGGGACCCTCAGAGCCTCCCCGAGGCTGGAGCCACCTCCTCTGCTCCCACTGCCCCTTCTTCCTCCTCCTCAGCCTGCGGCAAGTCTCACGTCTGAGCTGCTTCCTGAGTCACACAATGTCCTGGACACCCTGGTGATGTGTGTGTGGGGGGTGTGGACGAACAAGAGGGATAAGGGAGGGGCTTCCCTGACAGCCCCTGGGGAGATGGGGGAAGTGGGACAGTGTGGCCAGAGGCAGGTGCTAGGACGAGAGGACTGGCAAGTGGGTTGCTGGGGCAGCCCCTGCCCTTCATTTTTTGATGTGGTCTCTGTTTTCTAAAGAAAGATGGGATTGCAAGGTGGCTGCCCCATGCCCTGGAGGAGCTGGACCTGGAAACAGGTGTAGGGGGTGAGACTTCTCTACTCCTCTTCCCAGGAGAGGAAGCTGGTTTTGTGAGGATAGAACATATGCTTAGAGAACCTGCAACCCTCCATGATTTGAAAGCATTCAGCCTTAGCAGAGGGAACCCAGGGAACTTCTGGGCCTCACGTTGGCCCTCATTGGGATTTGTTTTTTTCCTCTTGGGGATTGGGCAGGATGTTACACTGGTTTTGGCAACACCTGGTCTTCCTTAGGAGAAGGATGTGTAAGATTCATTGTCAAAGTAAACGAACACAATCTGCTCTTAGTTCTGCAGTCTGGATTCTCTGTAGCAAATACTGAATTTTGAGTGGGCTCCCTTCTCCAGGATCTCTGGGTAGTGCAATCATACTTAGCTGTTAATCAAAAGGGTGGATGTTTGAGTTTACCCAGAGGTGCCTTGAGAGAAAGACCTGGTGATCTGCTTTCAAAGAAAATCAGTCATGGAAAGCTCTATGGATCACAGTGCTACTCTGACACACGTTGGGCTCCGTGAGCCCGTGTTGACTCCATAGCAACTGTTTTTTTTTTTTTCCCCTTTCCCTCATCTCTCCTTCCCTCCTTCCCTTGCAAAAGCTTCCAAGCAGCCATCTAGATGCAACAATGGGTTTCTCCTCACCCAGTGCAAAGAATAATGAAGAAAACCAAAGACTCATGGAAACAATTAGTTAAGTGACTGGTACACCATGCAGTCCTCAGTCTATATGACTATGAGACCAGAAGAACTAGATGCTACCTGGCTACCAGTGTCAACCATTTGGAGGGGGATCTATGTAGGAGAATTCTGGACAGAGTGGGAAAACAATGTGGAACAAAACTCAAAATCAGTAAAAATAAAACAAAACAAAATAAAAAGGGACCAGTTTTGCTGGTCTGATAGAGCCTGATGGAACCACTGACACTATGGCCCCTAGCTGCCCTTCAGGTCTGGAATTGAACCCATTCCTATGGCTTCCAGCCAAACAAAAGACAAGCATATGAGTTGAACATTTACATTAGGTAGATACACTTTTAGATACACTCCTTGGAGAGATCAATCATGACATAGTAGAAGGGCTGTGTATGCATGAGGAGACAGCTGATGGGGGGGGGTGGGAGTGCATGGGAGGGAAGGACACAGGGAAGAGGGAACTATGGGGAAGTGGGAGGTGAGCTGTCGCATTGTGGGAAATTGCAGTCAAAGTCATGAGACAAAGTGTATGTGAGCTGCTGTATGGAAAGTGAATTTGCTCTATAAACTTTCACCCAAATCACACACACACACACACACACACACAAATCTGTTTCCAAACAAAGTTATATACACAGGCACCCAAACCAACCAAACCAATTGCTGTTGAGTCAATTCTGACTAATTATAACCCCATATATCAGAGTAGAACTGTTGCATAGGATTTTCATGGCTGTGACCTTTTGGAAGCAGATTACTAGGCCTTTCTAATCTGAAGTGCCTCTGGGTGAATTTGAATAGCCAATATTTTGGTTAGTAGCTCCAGGCTTAACCATTTGCGCCACCCAAGGACTCTATTTACAGGTTCAGGACTTAAGATTGAACACATATTTTTTGGGGACATAATTTAGCCCATAATAGCAGGAACACCATAGAAATTATGTGGTATCCTCAGTGCATCACATCAGGAGATGCATGAACCAAAATTATTCTTACTGGTTGTCTAATATTCCACTATTTGGGAGCTCTGGTAGCATAGTGGCTAAAGCACTTGACTGCTAACCAGAAGGCTGGCGGTTCAAAGGAGCCACTCCTCGGAAGGAAGGTTGGGCAATCCTAGTTCCGTAGTGATACTGCCTCAGAAACCCAAGGAGGGGTTGCTATGAGTCGGGGCCGACTCGACGGCACATAACAACAACAACAACAACAACAGTTTATTTAATATATTTAGTTGTGAGGATCATAACAAATTATGGATAACATTGAGAAGAATGGGAATTCCAGAACACTTAATTATACTCATTAGCAACCTGTACATAGACCAGGAGGTTGCTGTTTGAATAGAACAAGGGGATACTGCATGGTTTAAAATCAGGAAGAATGTGCATCAGAGTTGCATTCTTTCACCATATTTATTCAATCTGTATGCAAGAGCTCTGGTAGCATAGTGCCTAAGGCACTTAACTGCTAACCAGAAGGCTGGTGGTTCAAACCCACCAGCCACTCCTCGGAAGGAAGATGGGGCAATCTACTTCCATAGTGATAATGCCTCGGAAACCCAAGGAGGGGTCGCTATGAGTTGGGGCCGACTTGACTGCAGATAACAACAACAACAACAACGCTGAGCAAATAATCTGAGAATCTGGACTATATGAGGACGAGCATGGCATCAGTATTGGAGGAAGATTCATTAACAACCTGTAATATGCAGACGGTACAACTTTGCTTGCTGAAAGTGATGATGACTGGAAGCACTTACTGATGAAGATCAAAGACTACAGTCTGCAGTATGGATTATATCTCAAGATAAAGAAAACAAAAATTCTCACATTGGATCAACAAACAACATCACAATAAATGGAGAAAAGACTGGAGCTGTCAAAGATTTTATATTACTTGGTTCCATAATCAACACCAATGGAAGCACCAGTCAAGAAATCAGACATTGTATTGCACTGGGCAAATCTGCTGCAAAGACCTCTTTCAAGTGCTGAAGAGCAAAGATGTCTCTTTGAAGACTAAGGAGCGCCTAACCCAAGCCAGGGTGTTTTCAATTGCCTCACACACATGGGAAAACTGGACAATGAGTAAGGAAGACTGAAGAAGAGTTGATGCTTTTGGGTTGTGGTGTTGGTGAAGAATACTGAAAGTCCCATGGACTGCCAGAACTAACAAATCTGTCCTGGAAGAGTGCAGCTGGAATGCTCCTTGGAAGTGAGAATGGCCAGACTTCATCTGACCTACCTTGATCATGTTGTTATAAGGGACCATTCCCTGGAGAAGGATATCATGCTTGGTAAAGAGGAGGATCAATGAAAAAGGGGAAGGCCCTCAATGAGATAGATTGACACAGTGGCTACAAGGATGGGCTCAGGTATAGCAAAGATTGTGAGGCTGACACAGGACCAGGCAGTGTTTTGTTCTGTTGTACATGGGATCGCTATGAGTTGGAGCCAACCTGACAGCACCTAACAACAACAACAACAACAACAACAGTATTTAAACCAATTTCCTATCGAATGGCATTTAGGTTGGTCTCAGTTTTTTTTTTTTTTTTAATATGACTAACTATGCTGCAATAAATATCCTTGAATATACATATTTGCCTGGGTGCCTAATTACCTCCTTAGGCTAAATCCCTAGGAGTGGAACCACTGAGTCAGAGAGTCAAAGGATAGACTTGTTCTTATTTCTCAATTGCTGCAAAAAGAAGCGTTATTGTCTCCCTTTGGTCCACAACTTGGAAAAGGGGCTTCAGGTAATTAAGGTCTGACTTCGTGGCAGAGGGAGAAGTTCAGGTGGAGACCTGGGGCTGGCAGGAGGATGCAGAGGGCCGTTTCCAGGTTGCTGGGCTCAGAAGGTACCCAGTCATCATCCCTGAGGGAGAGTCTCTTGAAGATTTACTCACCTAGCTCCACCTGGGAGTTGGCCACCCTGTGGAGGTTGGTCAGGTGGTTGCTCATCTTCTTGAGGAGTTTCACCTCCTTGTCTAAGAAATGGCTCTCAAAAAGTCATAGAGATGGGGGTAGGTGTGGGTAGAAGCCATAGCGTGCAAATCCAGAAGAGCCTAGTTCAGGTTCTTCTCCAGGGCCAGGATGGCTTCCATGGTGTCCACACTTCTACCCCACTCATCTTGAGATGGCTTCTTCATGTCCTGGAAGACGGTGCAGCTCCTTACACTTGTTCTGTAGCTTTAAGAGATGCTCAGCATTCTCATGCTTCTCCTTCCCAGAAGAAGTGTCACACACCTTCCATGGCCACATCCTCATGATTGAAAAAGAAGCCCAGAGAGAGGTAGGTGTAGGAGGCCCACAGATGCAGATTGACCAGGTGGTTGACGCCAGCCTTCACGTTGGTGGAATAATTCTGACAGATCTGGGAGCTCATAGTAGGTCAAGGATTGGGAGCTAATCACAAAAAACAGTGTTAGTGGTTTCAGGAAATGGAATGGCTAAGAAGATGGTCTGGGAGGTTCCACCTGGAGAGGAGGTTGGAAGGTGGCCCAAAACAGGAAGTGGGTAGTTCCTGGGTCTGTTCCATCCAAACACTGTTAAAGCAAGAGAGAGATCCATGGGACTGCTCGGGGAGCTTGTCAGGATAGACTTGTTTTTAAAGCTTTTGATATGCAATGTTGCCAAATTATTCCTCAGAAAGCAGAGCAGTGTCTGAGCATGTCCTTCCTGGCTGATCCTGGGTATTAGAAATCTTGCCACTTTGATACAAAACCAAAACCAAACTCACTGCCATGGAGTCACATCTGACTCATAGAGACCCCTCCTTGGGTTTTCAAAGCAGTATCACTACAGAAGTAGATGACCCAATCTTCCTTTGGGTTTGAACCGCTAGCCTTCTGGTTAGCAGTCAAATGCCTTAGGCACTATGCCACCAGAGCTCCTGCCATTTTGATAGGTGCAATGATATCTCATTGTTGCTTTAAATTGCCTTTGTTGTAAAGGTTAACATTATTATTCTCTGTTTAATGACTATTCATGTTCCTTGTTTGAGAATTTTCTGTGTTCTTGGT